CCCCACATCCTGCACCCCATCCTCCCACCAGCACCCCATCCCCCTCTGTACCCCCACATCTTGTACCCTGCACCTTAGCCTCCCTTGGCACCCCCTGTACCCCCACATCCTGCACCCTGCTCCCCATCACCTCAAGCACCCCAACACCCATCTGCCCCCACAACCTGCACCCCATCATTCCCCCCCAGCACCCCAACCCCTTCCATGGCACCCCAACCTGCCCCCCCAAACCCACCTCCCCGGCTCCTCTTCCCCCCACAGCTTGCTGTAGCCAACACCTCCCACCCCCCCGAAGCCCCAATACAATCCCCCTGTGGCGGGGGGTGAAGCTCCACAGAGGAGAGCTGCCCCTACCTATGGCGTAGCCAGCCAGCAGGAATCCAGCCGACCCCACCAGCACCTGGAACTCCTCCGTCCGGGTCTTGTGGACAATCAGCCCCAGCCGGGTAATCTGGGGAGACACAGCGCGTCCTGCCGGGAGCCAGGAACACCCTGGGTGCCACGGGCCCCAAGCACCATGGTGGAGCTGTGGGCACCGTGAGCTGGGCAGGCTCCAGAAGGCCAGCTGGGGCACCAAGCAAACCAGCCTAGGTCCGCTACACCCATTGGGTAGGCCCTACACAAACACCCCCCCCGCACCGAGTAACAGGCTCCACCCCAGAGCAGCACTGGGGCTGGGGCCCAGACGGCTCCTGGGAGATTCTACAAGGATTGGAGGGGCGGGGCAGAGAGAGAGAGAGTGTGTGTGTGTGTGTGTGTGTGTGTGTCAAGACTCCTGGGTTCTTGGCTGTGGGGGGAGTTCCTTTCCCACACTGTGTCGTGCCTCAGTTTCCCCGCCTGTCTGCTGGGGGAGCTGGCCCTGATACCTGCTTGGGGGTGTGTGTGTCTGTAATGCACTTTGGCTGCAGGGAGGGGTGATGGCACTGCTGGGGGGAGGAACGTGGGGTGGGGAAGGGCGATGGGGGCTGGGCCCTGCCAGTGCGAAGGCCCCAGCCTGAGGGGACCTCAGCCGGGTCCGAAGGTCTCACCCAACAGCCACGTGGGCTGTGCTGGTGCCCGGCTGGCAGAGCCACTGCCCTGGCCCCAGAACCACAGGGTGCTCCGAGCTGCCCCCAGCATAGCCGCCCCGACTCACCCCCTACCCGAGTGCAGGGAGCCCCCTCCCCAGTCTCCCAGAATCAGGTCAGCCAGGCGAGCCCCTGGCCCAGCGCCGGGGTGAAGGGCCCCTGGGTTCACCCTCTCCCCGGGCGGGAGGCCTGGAGCCTGCAGGGCTGAGCCGGGCAGGAGCACGGGGGGGTGAGGGCTCCCCAGGGTGGCTAGGCTCAGACATGGCCCCTGCTCCCCCACTCACATCCCCCCCGCTGTCCTTGAGGCCCACGATGTTGGGGTGCTGCGACAGGGTGAGCGTGGCCTCCAGGGGCAACTCCAGGCCGGTGTTGGCTGGGACGCTGTACAGCACCACAGGGATCGGTGACGCATCTGCCACCTGCGGACACAGAAAGGGGCGCTGGGCATGGGCCCGTAGGACGGGAACACAGCCTGCGGCCAACCGAGACCCCCTGCTAGGCAAGGCACTCTCCCTGCATCAGTGTCTGTGTAGGGCCTACATAAACAACCACCATTTTGGTTTGTGTGGGGCCTACATAAACAATGGGGTTGAATTTCACTCTCCCGTGCCCCGTCCCCTCCCCCAATCTCAGCCCCTGTCGCCAAACCCAGGGGGTTTGATGGATCTGATGGTGTTGTGTGTAGCGTGTCACGTCATGCTCCCTCAGCTCCCCCGATCACTGCCCCGCCCCCAAGGTTCCTCACCCCCCACCCCAGAGCCACTGGGCTCTTTGCTCCCCTCTCCCCTGGGAAGAGGCATGCGGTCACTGCGGGGCAGGGTTGCCAGGCGTCTGGTTTTCGACCCTGGCAGCTCCGGTCAGCACCACTGACCGGGCTGTTAAAAGGCCTGTCGGTGGCGCAGTGGGGCTAAGCCAGGCTCCCTGCCTGCCCTGGCTCCACGCAGCTCCCGGAAGCAGCGGCACGTCCTCCCCTCCGGCTCCTACGCGTAGGGGCAGCCAAGGGGCTCCACACACTGCCCCCGCCCCAAGAGCTGACTCCAGGAACCACAGCCAATGGGAGCTGCGGGGGCGGCGCCTGCGGACGGGGCAGCGCGCAGAGCCACCTGGCCATGCCTCCGCATAGGAGCCAGAGCGGGGACATGCCGCTACTTCTGGGAGGTGCTTTGAGGTAAGCGCCGCCAGGAGCCTGCACCCCTGAGCCTCCCCCTTCACCCCAATCCCCTGCCCCAGCCCTGATCCCCCTCCTGCCTGCCAAACCCCTCGGTCCCAGCCCGGAGCCCCCTCCTGCACCCCAAACCTCTCATCCCCAGCCAGAGCCCTCACACTCCCTGCACCCCAACCTCCTGCCCCAGCGCAGAGCCCCCTCCTGGAGCCCCCTCCTGAACCCCTCATTCCTGGCCCCGCCGTGGAACCCGCACCCTCAGCCCAGAGCCCGTACTCCCTACCACACCTCAACCACCTGCCTCAGCCCTGAGCCCCCTCCCATGCTCTGAACCCCTCGGCTCCACCCCCAGCCTGGATCCCCCTCCTGCACCCCAAGCCCCTCATCCCCGGCCCCAGCCCAGAGCCCGCACCCCCTCCTGCATCCCAACCCCCTGAGCCAGCCCTGTGAAAATGAGCAAGTAAGTGAGGGTGGGGAGAGCGAGCGACAGAGGGAGGGGAGATGGAGTGAGTGGGGGCGGGGCCTCAGAGGAGGGGTTGGGCAGGGGTGGGGCAAGGGTGTTCGCTTTTGTGCAAGTAGAAAGTTAGCAACCCTAGAGTTTGGGTGCAGAAGGGGGCTCAGGCCTGAGGCAGGGGGTTGGGGTGCGGGAGGGGGTGTGGGCTCCGGGAGGGAGTTTGGGTGCAGGGGGGGATTCGGTCCTGGGGCAGGGGGTTGGGGTGTGGGCTCTGGGAAGGAGTTTGGGTGTGGGAGGGGGCTCAGGCCTGGGGCAGGAGGTTGGGGTGTGGGAGGGGCTCAGGGTCAGGGTGTGGGAGGGGGTGCGGGCTCTGGGAGGGAGTTTGGGTGGGTGGGGGTTAGGCCTGGGGCAGGGGGTTGGGGTGCAGGAGGGGGCTCAGGGTCAGGGTGTGGGAGGGGGTGCAGGCTCTGGGAGGGAGTTTGGGTGTGGGAGAGGGCTCAGGCCTGGGGCGGGGGGTGGGGGGGGGGGAGGGAGTTCGGGCTGCTGGCTCCGGCCGGGCAGCGCTTACGTGAGGTGGCTCCCGGAAGCAGCTGGCCAATGGGAGCTGCGGAGCCGGCGCTCAGAGTGGGGGCTGCAGGGACGTGCTGGCCCCTTCCGGGAGCCGCGCAGAGCCAGGGCAGGCAGGGAGCCTGCCTTAGCCCCACCGTGCCACCGACTGACTGTTAACAGCCCGGTCAGCACTGCTGACCGGAGCTGCCAGGGTCCCCCTTTTTGACCCTAGCCCCATCGCCTCATAGGCCCCTCTCCCAGCAGAGGCCCTCCCTCTTCCCCCAGGGCCCTCCCCCCAGAGCCCCTCCCCCTGTAGTGCCCCTCCCCTTCTTCCCCCAGGACTCCTCCCAGAGACCCCCTTCCTGCAGGCCCCTCCCGCTGCAGGGCCCCCCTCCCCGCGTCCAGCTGTCACTGAGACAGAGCCAGGCTGGTTTCCAGCCCCCCCGGCTGTGCTCCGCCCCGTACCTGGCTGTAGTGGTGGATCAGGGCCGCGCTGGTCATTGCGCCCCGGTAGTAGCAGGGTGTGACCACCAGGGCGGCGTCAGCGCCCGCCTCGGCCATGCCCACGGTCATCGCAATGGTGCCCTGCGTGGCTGGGGGAGGAGGGTGAGCGGGAGGTCATGTCACGGCCCTTGCCAGAGCATCGCGTGGGGCCACGTGGCCTGGGACAGGGACCCAGCCAGGGACAGGGCAGGGCCCAGGCAATGGGGGGGATGGGAGGTCTGAGCCCATGCACCGGGGGCGCGGGGGGAGGAGGATGGTGGGTCAGGGCCCTGGCACGAGGAGGGGGATGGAGGGGTCCAGGCCCAGGCACATTGGGGGTGGTGCCCTGGGGTGGGAGTGGGGGCACACTGGGGATGGTGGCCAGCCCTGGGCTTGGGGTCATATGGGTGTGGTGCCCAGTGGGGTGATGGGGAGGATGGTGGGGTCCGGGCCCAGGCACTGGCGGGTGGGGGGATGGAGGGGTCCGGGCCCAGGCACTGGGGGGCAGGGGATGGAGGGGACAAAACCCGGGCCTGGGGGGGAAATGGGGAGCAGAGGCCGGTGTTGCAGCACTAAGGGACTGTGGCCCAGGGGTGGGAGGGGAGTTAGGAGCCCTATGGCCATGGCACCCACCCGGGCACATCCACGGTGACCCCTCCCCATCCCCTGCTCTCACATTCGCAGCCCGACCCGGCCAGCAGCAGCTTGTCCCTGGGCACGGCCTGGCGCACGCGGCTCACCACGGCCAGCCGCTCCTGGGGCGTCAGGTAGGCGTACTCGCCGCTGGAGCCCTGCACCACGAAGCCTGCGAGACAGAGCACAAGGCCGTTAGGCTGGGCCTTGGCCGGCCCCCCGCACAGAGGGGCAGGTGGGACCCAGGCCCAAGGGGGGCAGTGCTGGGCCAGCAGGGGCTGGGTGGGGGTGAAGTGCCAGAACAAGGAGCAATGGTCTCAAGTTGCAGTGGGGGAGGTTTCGGCTGGATATTAGGAAACACTATTTCCCTAGGAGGGTGGTGAAGCACTGGAATGGGTTCCCTAGGGAGGTGGTGGAGTCTCCTTCCTTGGAGGTTTTTAAGGTCAGGCTTGACAAAGCCCTGGCTGGGATGATTTAGTTGGGGATTGGTCCTGCTTTGAGCAGGGGGTTGGACTACATACCTCCTGAGGTCCCTTCCAACCCTGATATTCTATGAGATCCCATTAGGGGGCTGCGTGAGGGATAGTGCCCAGCTCCAGGGTGGCAGGGGCATTGGGTGGTGGTGTCCAGCCCTGGGATGGGGGGCACATGGGGTTGGTGCCCAGCCCCAGGGGCACCCACCCTGGCAGCCCAGCCCAGCCCAGCCCAGTCAGGGGCAAGAGCCGGCTGGGTCCCGCCCAGGCCCTGCCCAGGGACACGCAGGGACCCCTCCTGGGCAGACCCAGTGGGCGTTTCTGTAGTGAAACCCGCAGCAGGCCCAGGGCTGCCCACGCAGCTGCCATGACACCCCTCGGGCAGAGCGTGTGACAGCCTGGGCGGGGCAAGTGACCCCGGGCACCAGCTTCCACAGCCCCCAGAGCCGCAGGCCAGTCCGGTGACAGCCCCACCCGGCCAGGAGCCCCCTTGCTGCCTCGTGGCCTCAGACCCCCTCAGCTGCCAGCCCGCCCGCAACCCTGCCCCTGCTCTGCCCGGCTCCAGCCCTGCCCCTGCAGCCGGACTCTGCCTACGACCCTGACAGACTGACCCACGCTTTGTCCCCAGAGCCACGTTTCAGCCCTGCCCTCGGCCTGGTCCAGACCGTACGTCCAGCTTCGCCTGCCGCTCCAACCACCAGGCCTGACTGCCTAGAACCCAGACAGCGCCGGCTCCAGGCCACGGGGCCGGATCCTCCCGGGGGGCACTCGACAGAGCCCCTTCGCTTTGGGGCACCACATGGGGCAACCGAACCAGGTCCTGCTATGCCAGTGAGAGCCAGGCCTTGCCCTGGAGCCCACCAAGGCAAGGAAGCCAAGCGGGGGGCCTAGCAAGGGGCGCGCGTGCACGCACACACACACACACGGTGCCAGAGCTTCCTCCGGCCCCAAGGGCGCAAACTCCCATCACGTGCTCATCCCCCTACGCACCCCTCACAAATCACCCCACACAGGGACGCTAGCAAAGAGTTTATTGCCCGCTGTCAGGGGCGCGCTGCGTTCTCCCCAGCCAGCGCTGCAGCTGCCCGGGAAGGGGCACCCATGTTCCTGGCGCCCTGAGGCAGACACATGAGCCGTGAGGTTGCGGGTGTGCCGGGGGCGAGAGGCTGGGTGCTGGGCAGGGGGCGCTCGTCACACCCGCTGTTCTGCCCCTGGCTGCGTCCCCTCACTTGCTCCTTGCCCTGCGGTGATGCCAGCAGCGGGTCCGAGGGGCAGGGGGCAGGGTCCTGGCGAGCTGCCCCTGCTGTCGGTGTGTGGGCGCAGGAAGCACAGAGTCTGGGGACCAGCGGGTGCTGCCATGAGCCCCTGGGGTCAGTCCCTGCAGCGGTGGGTCAGCCTGGAGTGGACCGTGTGGGCGGTAGCTGGCATGGCACTGCCTCGCTGGATGAGGGCGTGGGCCCGCAGCCTGGCGCTCACTCCCTCCGCGCCGACGAGCGTGTCCGGGTTGGGCCTGGCCGCCTCGGCCTGGTGGCTGATCTGGCAGGAGGTGGCTCGCAGCAGCAGGGCCTCGGCCAGGCGCCGCCTCGGGGCATCGCTCTCCCTGCTACGCTCGGTGCCCTGGTTCTCCTCCTCCACGTGCTGCCAGGCCCTCCAGCGCCCGGTGGGCCTCTCCTCTGCCCCTGCTGCCTCGCTCTCCTCGGGGAAGCAGCTGTAGTACGACCTGATCCAGTGTGGAGCCTGCTCCGGTGCCGGGCGGCCCCCCCCACGGCCCCTCCTCCCCCGCCACAGGAACAGGGCGCCGGCCCCCAGCAGCAGGGCAGCCCCCAGTGCCAGCGCCACTTTCCAGGTGCGTGAGGCCCTGGCTGACCCCATAGGCCTGCGGTCAGGGCAAGGCAAGAGCAGGGGGCCGGGGCTCATGGGCCAGCAGGGCCATGCTGGGCAGAACGACACCCAGGGAGCAGGCGTGGGTCCCAGCTGCTCAGCCTCCCTGCTCCCCCTGGGCACCGCCCGGGTCACCAGTGAGGGGGGCATTGTGAGGGAAGCACCTGGCCCTGCCGGGCCTGCTGGTCTCAAGGCCAGAGAGAGCCTGGGGCCACGGGAGCAGGGCTCTGCACTTGGGAGTCTCCGAGCAGGGTCCCGACAGTGGAAGCGGCTGAGTCTGGCCCAGCTGAGTGTGGGGCCAGCACAGAGGCAGCAGGGCATGGAGCCGGCCCTTCGGCCCCCAGACGAGCGGTGACAGACCTGGCCCTGACCCAGCGGCAGCAGGGGTGTGCCAGGAGCCCCAGCCAGGCAGCATGCCCCTTGTCCTGGGACGCTGCCGCCCAGGCTCCGGGCTTGGCCTAGAACCTGACCCCCCACGTCGGTCTGACTGGGCACGGGGTGGGGGCCAAGTCCAAAGGAAAACCCTCCGCTCCCTAGTGCTCTCGGCCAGTTCTAGCCCCCGTGGCCGGAGTGCCCTGCCTGCCCCATGCCCAGCATGTGCTGCAGAGCATCCGGGCGGCCCGCGAACACCAGCCACGCGGTGGGGCTGGAGCCCTGAGCAGGGGGCACGCAGGGGCTCGCTGGGGGAGCGCGACCCGGGGGGAGTGGGGTCGAGGGTGCCTGGGGAGCCACCCCTGTGGGGTGGGCGCAGAGTCTGCGTGAGCACGTCGGGGCGGAGCCCAGGGCTGGGCGAGCGGGACAGCCACCCAGGGCACAAAGCCCTGGGGCCAGAAAACTTACACCCCAAACCCCGGAATGGGGTGCAAGTCTGCCTGCTTGTCCTGGGCCCGAGGGCTCTGGCACGCAGGCTCTTGCTAGTTAACTGTGCGGCAGGGGCTGGGGGGGGAGATGGAGCGGGAGCTGTTTTGGGGGCTAGGCAGGGTGGGAGCTGGTGGGGGGATGGGCGGGGAGCGGCTGGTGGGGGTTGGGCCCATTTTTGCAGGGTGGGGGCTGTTTTGGGAGGTTGGTATGGAGGGGGCTGGGGGTGTCGGTGGGTGGGGGCATTTGGGGGGCTGAGAGGCCCGTTGAGCAGATGCCGAGTCTCCCCACGACCGGCTCCGTCCCCTGCCACGCGGCCAGGCAGCGTCCACCCACCCCAGCTGCACAGACCCTGCGAGTGGGGCCACGCTCCCTGGCCAGGAGCCTGCAGCGAGTTCCAGCCAAGCCCATCCCTCCTGCCCCTTCCTTGCCCTCATGCTCCCTGGGTGGGGCACCGCGCCCACCCCCACGGCTCAGCCCACCCTTGTGCCAAGGGGCCTGGCCCCCTCCAGGCCCAGGTCTGTGGTCGCCCCAAGATAACAAGCCGGGGTGAGGCGGGAACACGCCCGTCCGCAGCGGCTGGGGGCTCCTGCCCCCATGGAGCTTCTCCCGGGCGCCTCAGGGGGCCCCACGCCACAGGAGCTGGGGGGCTCTGGCCTGCTCCCGGTGGCCAGGTGCCTGCCCCACAGTCCGGGCTAACCAGCCCCCACAGAAGCTTTACGGGACACGGAGCCAGAAGCCCCCACAGCCCTAGAGGGTCGGACTGGAGTGGGGGGGCAGGTTAGCAGGGCGGGGACACACAGGGGCACAAGGGCAGGCTGGGGTGTGTGTGTGTGGAATTGGGCAGGGTGGGGGCACACAGGCAAGGTGTGGGGGGAACATGGATAGGGCTGGGAGATGTGGGGCAGGACAGGGCGGGGGTGTCTGGGGCAGGGTGGGGGCATTAGGTGGAAGGGCGGGGTGTGTGGGATTGGGCAGGGTGGGGGCACACAGGCAGGGTGTGGGGGGAACATGGGTAGGGCTGGGAGATGTGGGGCAGGACAAGGCGGGGGTGTCTGGGGCAGGGTGGGGGCATTGGGTGGAAGGGTGGGGGGAGTGGGATTGGGCAGGGTGAGGGGGCAGGGCGAGGGTGGGGGGCATGTGGAATTGGGCAGGGTGGGGGCATGCGGGGTGGGGCAGGGCAGGGGCAGACCCTGTGCCAGCCAGGCTGGCCATGCCCAGGGATAACCAGGCCCCGCTGGGCAGAGTTGGGGGGTGCTGGGCCCCGCCCGGCCAGCCTCACCTCGGAAGGGGGCCGTGGCGTAGCGGTGCAGGTTCTCCTCCAGCCGGCTGTAATCCACCTCTGCCTGGGCTGTGAAGGGGGTGGTGAGCGGGGGGAAGATGCCCCGCAGGTCGAGCCGGGTCCCCGGCGTGGCGGGGGTGCGGAGCCAGCGACATGCTGCCAGCCCCAGCCGGAGAGGGGCGAGGAGCCTGGGGGGCTGTGCCATCGCGGGCCTGGGGCGCTCTGAGCTGCTGCCCCACAGCCACCTCCAGCCCCGGGGCTGTTAATAATTGATGGGGCTGGCTGGGGATTTGCTGCTCCCAGGGCGAGGCCTCACGCTGGGGCCCTGCCTGGGGCACTGGGGGCATTGAACAGTGCCTGGTCCGGGCCCAGGGACCCCCCCCCCAGCCACAAGGGCCTAGCTGGCCGTGGGTCTGCGATGGGGGGGAGCCGCTCGGCCCTCAGGGTCAGGCCCCCAGGTGACTCTAGCCGGCCCCTGGGGCTCCCCCCACAGCCTGTCGCCAAATCCTGTCCAGACAGCCCCTCTGGCTCCCTTAAAGGGGCCCCAGCATGAGCAGAAGTCAGCACCTGCTGCACCTGGAGGGGAAGGGAGACCCTGTGTCTGCAGGGCATGGCTGGTATCAGCTGTCCTGGGGGCACACCCTCCGCTGCCACTCCCCAGAGCCAGCTGCAGCTCCCACTCCCCATCACTGCAGTCATTCTCACCAGGCGGGAGTGTCTTTTGCCCTGGGGCAGCTAGGCTGGACCCCACACGCTCCTGGGGTCCCACGGGATCCACGGCAGCATGCAGGAGTTTGTTACTGTAGGGTCACTTGTAAACACCAGGTGGGTTTGTATTTCAAGAGGGGCGTGTGAGCACCAAAACCTCCCTTAACGATGGACGTTCTGGATGCAGGAGTGCCGAGACCAGGGGGCTGCAGTGTTATGCTAGGGGGCTAGCTGGTGATCATGTTGGACATGTCCCAGGGGAGTAGCGGGGCTGGGTGTGCGCTGGTTTGCTCCTGACTCCTGGGGCTGGCGTGTTGTTACAGGGTCTCCTGGAAATGCTGGGCATACAGGATCATTTCTGTGGCATTTTGGAATAACCAGTGAGGCAAAGTAGGAGGGTTTATTACTTAATGTTTTCTCTGAATACTGGGTGTGTGCCTCAGTTTCCCCTGTGTGTTACACAAATACCTAGGGGGTGGGACAAGGGGCTGTGATTTTTGCTGAGCTCCCCAGTGGGCAGGTGTGGCTGCCCCTCGCTGCCTGACATAGATAATGGCCGAAGTACTCTGTAACCCGGCAACGGATGGTCGGGGCTGCCACAAGTTGGAGCAAGGAGAAGGGTGGAGACCAGGTGGCCCTTTTGCCTGGGAAAGAGACAAAGGACGGAGGAGGGGCAACAGGAGTGTCTGAGGCTGGGCTGCTGGGAGCGAGTCAGGCTCCTGGTTTGGGACTCCGGGGGGATCCCCCCAGATGGACTTTTGTGAATGTCCCGATTTCTGTGCTCTGTTCTACGCTGTGCTCCCGAGCGACGACTAATAACCCGTCTGTGTCTCACGCTGGCCGAGAGTCACTGCTGGCTGCGGAGTGGGGGGCAGGGCCCGTGGGGAGCGCCTGAGGCTTCCCCGGGTGTCCAATCCAGGGGCACTCGCTGCAGGGAGCTCCCAGGGTGGGGTGAACAGGGGGCTGAACGCTCCGAGGTCAGACCCAGGGAGCAGCGACGCCCAGGAGGCGTCTTGCCCTGGGGAGCGTGTGCCCAGAGGGGAGCCGCCCTGCACCGGAGCCCTGCCTGACTTCATTCGGGGCGGTGCCCGCGCACCCAGCCAGGGACTCCGTGATGAGATCAGCCAGCAGCCCGGAGGAGGCCCGCTGGCGCCCGCTGGCTGAGGACGCTCTCACTCGACACAGCGAGGAGAAAGATCGTCCAGAAAAGCCGTGCTGGAGAGTCGGGGTCAGCGTACGCACAGCGATCACAGAGCAGGGTGTCATTTCAACCCTGCGACCCGCTCACTGCCTGCCGCACAGGGGAACAGAGAAGTGGCTGGAAGGTACCAGAAAGGCCGCGCGCGGGGTGAGATCAGATCTTTTATTGGACCAACTTCTGTTGGTGAGAGAGACGAGCTTTCAGCTACACAGAGCTCTTCCTAGCTGAGCTCTCCATACCCGAGCGCTGTCCTTTTCCTCCAGGGAAACCAGCACAACCCTTCAAACGCCGAGCCTGGGCCCTCAGCCCCTCACATTATTAGCCACTAAAATCATGGTCCTACTAAAGCCTCTGGAGGGAACTCCATAAAGACAAATGCAAAGTGCTGCAGTTAGGAAGGAGGGATCAGTCGTGCACACACACGCCGGGCAATGACTGCGGAGGAGGGGGTACCGCAGAGAAGGAGCCGGGGATCAGTCGGGGAGTGTCACAGCTAAAGACAAGTGGGAACAGATTGTTTCGCATATGTACTTAACACATATTGTACGAGACTCTGCAAGGTCAAGGGGCCTGTTAACACCTCTGCAGTCATAGACAGAAAAGGAGCTTCAGATTGTTGGACTAAGTCATAAATCAGAGATCACAAATGTGTGGGGCTGGCAGGGACCTCACTAGGTCGGCTAGTCCAGTCCCCTGCACCGAGGCAGGACTCAGTATTATCTAGACCAGGGCTGGCTTTAGGGGCAGCCGACCCAGACGAAAGCCTGGGGTGCCGGGCTCCGGGGGGCGCTGGGCTCGGGGGGCTGTTTTTGTTGTTAGCGACAAAAGGGGAAACGGAATGTTTGAAGTGAACTGTTTCAGGTATTGATGTTAGCACATTTCAAGTTATTCTTAATGTTTAAACGTTTCTATAAGCTTGGAGGAAAAGAATTTTTTTTATTTGCTTATATATGGCATGAATAAATACAGATTTACAGAGCCTAGCGTGCAAATTTATCATCTTCTGTGACAGGGATTAATCATGAATGTAAATCATGCATCGAAGTCGTGAAATGGGCAACAAATGCACTAAAAAAATAAGGTATTGAAAAGTTTAACCGCTGGAGGGGGGGCACCATTTGGTCTAGGGCCAGCCGGGGCCGGCGCGAGGGTTTTTGCCGCCTCAAGCGGGAAAAAAAAAAGCCGCGATAGCGATCGGCTGCAGCTCCACCGCGCCGCTTTCTTCTTCGGCGGCAATTCGGCGACCGGTCCTTCCCTCCAAGAGGGACCCGCTGCCGAAGAGCCCGACATGCCCCCCTTCCCCTTGGCCGCCCCAAGCACCTGCTTGCTTAGGTGGTGCCGGGAGCCGGCCCTGGGGCCAGCCCTGCTGGCAGGTGTGTGTCCAACCTGCTCTTAAACACCTCCAGTGACGGAGATTCCACCACCTCCCTGGGCAATTTATCCCAGTGCTTAACCAGCCTGAGAGGTAGGAAGTTTTTCCGAGGCCAACCAAAGGCCATGTCTACACTAGAGAGCTCACAGTGGCACAGCCGTACCGATGCCGCTTAGGTCAGCGTAACGTACGTCGCTCGGGGGGCGGTTTTTTCACACCCCCGAGCGACATAGGTTTTGCCAACATAAGTGGCAGTGTAGACATGGCCTACATCTCCCTTGCTGCAATTTAAACCCGTTGCTTCTTGTCCCGTCCTCAGTGGCTAAGGAGAACAATTTAGCACCCTCCTCTTTATAACAATCTTTTATGCACTTGAAAACTTTGACCAGGCCCCCTCTCAGTCTTTGCTTCTCCAGGCTAAACAAACCCAGCTTTGTCAATCTCTCCTGGTAGGTCATCGTTTGTGTTGCTTGCCTCTGGACTCTCTCCAATTTGTCCACATCTTTCCCAAAGTGCGGCCCCAGAACGGGACACAACACTCCAGCTGAGCTCTATCAGCGTGGGGTAGAGCGGAAGAATGACTTCTCGTGTCTTGTGTACAACACTCCTGCTAATAGAGCCCAGAGCAATGGTGGGATTTTTTTGCACTGAAAATCATGGACTGAATAGAGACACTAGATTTATGGCTTATTACCTATAAACCCACCTCCTCTTTTTGTCCTAGAATTGCAGATGTGTTAACAGGCCACTTCACTCCGAATGGTCTCTCACAATATGGATTAACTGCTTATGCTAAACAACGTGTTCCCCTTGTATGTAGCTGTGACGCTCCAGCTCTGAGTGGGAGCTCTGTATGGCTCAAAAGCTTGTCTCTCTCTCCACCAGAAGTTGCTCCAATAAAAGTCGCTCCCCGCTTGTCTCTCTAATATCCTTGGACCAATACAGCTACCCAGCCCTGCAAACAGGGACGATCCCAGTAAGACTGGAAGGAAAGGCTGTAGCGTGGGGCTCTGCCCACTTGCAATGTATGGGGCTGAGTGTTGGGCAACCAAGAAGCGGCATGAGCCAATGTTCTGTTCCAGGGAAATGCGGCAGTTGGGATGGACGAGGCGGGTAGGCAAGAGAACCTGCCTGAGGAACGTGTGTGTTACAGACACGCTCAGTGTAACACGCAGAAACAGGGAAGCGCAGGCTGAGACGTCTGGGCACGTATAGCACAGTGCTGACCGCCAGCTAGGTAAGAGAGTCCATCAGAAGGCAAAAGACAGGGAGACCCACGATGGAGCAGTGGGATGGCCTAAAGGAAGACAAGTTAGCATGTGGGGTGATTGTGACAGAATGTCCCCCGGCCCTCCCCCCCGACACTATTGTAGTGATCTTTGTACAGGTATGCCTTGTGCAGTGTCGTTTGAGAACTCATAACTTGCTGGTCATTTTTGTCCTGATGAAATATGTGTGGCAACATTGTCTGTGACATTCTAAGATTCCACTGTCGAGTGTTAACACACCTTCCAAACTGAGCAGGTCTGGCTCCAAGGAAGGAATGTGGCCTCTGCTTCATTTGCATTTAAGCAAACAGGAAGGGAAACAAAGGTCACTCCAACAGGCGAGAAAAACGCAGCAGGGAACATCCTTCCCCATAGACGTTTTGTCTCCCAGTGCCCAGCTGGAAATGTTTTTCGAAAGGGGGACAAGCTATACAAAGGAGGGGCAGACACCCCAAGGCAGCCTTCTGGCTCCCTGCCAGCGATTCTCTGCACCTAAAGCAACAGCGGATTCACCGGATTCTGGGAGGAGGGTCCTGACCTAGAGGGGTTGGTCCGTGAGACCGGGGAGAGCATGTGGTGAGACACGTCGCTTCAACCTGAAGTTAGTGAAGTTAGGCACCAGGAGCCTGGGAGTGACTTGCAGGGTGGGGCTGTTTGTGGGGCTCCAGCAGCAAAGCAGTGCAAAGGGCCCCCCAGGTTAGAGGGCAGGCGTGACACAGCTGGATTGTGCCTGGCATGTCACAGCGACGGAGGGTCTGGCACTGAACAGAGCACTGTGGGGGGCAGGGTGTGTACAGCCGACCCCCTCGGATGGGATTAACGCAAGGAAAAAGAATCCAGATAGAAAATGGTGCAGCCCTGCCCAGCATCCCCACCCCGAGGGACGACTCCGACCCCGGCCGGGCACCGCCCGCCCCCACCCCCGAGGGACGACCCGGACCCGGCCGGGCACCGCCCGCCCCCACCCCCGAGGGACGACTCCGACCCAGCCGGGCACCGCCCGCCCCCACCCCCGAGGGACGACCCGGGCCCGGCCCGGTAACACCTGCCCCTGCAGCCCACGTGGCTTCTGCTGGCGCCAGATGCTGGACTCTCGTTCACTGGGTTTTATTCCAAGATTCCCCCCGCTGGGTCCCGTTCCCCAGCCCGTCCGCCCACCCCTCACGCCGGGGCCTCCGTCTCGCCAGGCTCCTGCGTCTCCAGCGCCTGCCGGGTGTCTGCCTGCCAGAGCTGCACCAGATCCATGGGGGTCTTTCCTGCCTGTGGGGGGAGGGAGGGGGCAGAGGGTGAGACGAGCCAGACCTCCTGCCCCACGGGAGGGGAGCAGCAAGGAGCACCCAGCGACGTGCCGTGACCTGCCACCCCTCCATGTACTGCAGGCTCTGGGGACGGAGGCTCTGCCCCCCCAAAGAAGGCGAATCCCCCGCTGGCGACAGAAGCAAGGCTCTTCTCTGCGCGGTGTGATCCCACCACTGGGGGCTGCCCCCTGCCCGCCCCCTCCAGCCCAGGCAGCAGCAGCAGGAGCCACTCACCAGGTTCTGAGCCATCATGTCCGCCCCGTACAGGATCAGCATCTTAATGATCTTGTAGCGGTTGAGCCGCACGGCGTCATGCAGCGCGCTGTCCCCCTCCTGCAAGGGACAGAGCGCGCGGGCGTCACAGGGAACCCATCCTGCAGCTCCCCTCCCCCAAAAGGAGCCCAGCCTGCCCTGAGCACACGCCTCCCCCCCATACCCGGCGCCATGGGACGGCAAGGGAGAGAATGGCGGGGCTGGGCCCCCACAAGGGCAGCAGCACCCAGTCCGCACGCGGCCTGCATGGCTTGGGGCGGGGGGTGGTGCATGCGGGGATGTGACGCTGGATGGAACAGGGGTGACCGTTTATAACAGTATCCATACCAATATTACAACGCAGCCATGAATCCTATACACATCTGCCACGTAAGGAGTCAGTGGGTAAGGTATGGGAACAGGGGACCTCAAATGGGAGTTTGTGGGTGGGAGACGTAATATAGTCGCTATGGTTAGGAAGGGCCACATCGCCAGTGCCAACGCTGCTCCTGTCTCCTCCACCTGCGCCGGTATCCAGACAGAGAGCTCGACCATGGATGCCTCTACCCAGATCCCGGCGTGGCTTTGCAGAGACTGTGGCCTGCGTTTCCCACTCTCAGAAAGCCAGGCTGGGGGGACCATCCAGTGTGAGAGGTGCCTGCCGGTGGAATCGCTCACGAAGCAGGTGGCAGAGCTGCAGGAGGAGGTGGCTGGGCTGAGGAGCATCCGTGCCCATGAGGAATTCCTCGAGAGTATTCACACGGAGACATCCAAGGCTGAGGATGCTACAGAGGACGGCTGTCACACCACCGAGGGAGGAGGACATGGCTCTGTCAGATTTGTTGAATCTCTCTGGCTAAGGATAAAAGGGATAAAAACAAGGGAGATGTCCTGGTAGGGGTCTACTACAGACCACCTAACCAGGAAGAAGAGGTGGATGAGGCTTTTTGTCAACTCCCCAGACATCTGTTGGGAAAATAACACAGCAGGGCATAGATTCTCCAACAAGTTCTTGGAATGTATTGGAGACAATTTTTTATTTCAGAAGGTGGAGAAAGCTACTGGGGGGAGGCCGTTCTAGATCTGATTTTGACAAGGGAGGAACTGGTTGAGAATTTGAAAGTGGAAGGCAGCTGGGGTGAACGTGATCATGAAATGGTCGAGTTCATGATTCTAAGGAATGGTAGGAGGGAGAACCGCACAATAAAGTCAATGGATTTCAAGGCGGCAGACGTTAGCAAACTCAGGGAGTTGGTAGGTCAGATCCCATGGGAAGCAAGTCTAAGGGAAAATCAATAGAAGACAATTGGCAGTTTTTCAAAGAGACATTATTAAGGGCACAAGAGCAAACTATCCCACTGCGTAGGAAAGACAGGAAGTATGGCAAGAGACCACCCTGGCTTAACCAGGAGATCTTCAATGATCTAAAACTCAAGAAAGTCCTACAAAAAGTGGAATCTAGGTGAAATTACAAAGGATGAATATAAACAAATAACACAAGTATGTAGGGACAAAATTGGAAAGGCCAAGGCACAAAACAAGATCAAACTAGCTAGAGACATAAAAGGTAACAAGAAAACGTTCTACAAATACATTAGAAGCAAGAGGAAGGCCAAGGACAGGGTAGGCCCGTTACTCAACGAGGGGGAAAAAACAATAACAGAAAATGTGGAAATGGCAGAGGTGCTTAATGACGTCTTTGTTTCGGTTTCACCAAGAAGGTCGGCGGCGATTGGACGTCTAACATAGCGAATGCCAGTGGTAGGCAGTCACTATATTAGGATCAGAGTCTAAAATAGGGAAAGAACAAGTGAAAATCACTTAGACAAGTTAGATGTCTTCAAATCACCAGCGCCTGATGAAATGCATCCTAGAATACTCAAGGAGCTGACTGAGGAGATATCTGAGCCATTAGCAATTATCTTTGAAAAGTCATGGAAGACAGGAGAGATTCCAGAAGACTGGAAAGGGGCAAATCTAGTGCCCGTCTATAAAAAGGGAAATAAGGACAACCCGGGGAATTACAGACCAATCAGCTTAACTTCTGTACCCGGAAAGATAATGGAGCAAAGAATTAAGCAATCAAGTTGGAAACACCTAGAAGATAACAAGGTGATAAATAACAGTCAGCATGGATTTGTGAAGAACAAATCATGTCAAACCAGCCTGATAGCTTTCTTTGACAGGGTAACAAGTCTTGTGGATGGGGAGAAGCAGTAAACATGGTATATCTTGACTTTAGTAAAGCTTTTGATACTGTCTAGCATGACCTTCTCATAAACAAACTAGGAAAATGCAACCTAGATGGAGCTACTATAAGGTAGGTGCAAAACTGGTTGGAAAATCATTCCAGAGAGAAGTTATCAGTGGTTCACAGTCACTCTGGAAAAGGGCATAACGAGTGGGGTCCTGCAGGGATCAGTTCTGGGTCCGGTTCTGTTCAATATCTTCATCAATGATTTAGAGAATGGCATACAGAGTACACTTATAACGTTTGTAGACGTTACTAAGCTGGGAGGGGTTGCAAGTGCTTTGTAGGATAAGATCAAAATTCAAAATGATCTGGACAAACTGGAGAAATGGTCTCAAGTAAATAGTATGAAATTCAATAAGGACAAATGCAAAGTACTCCACTTAGGAAGGAACAATCAGTTGCACACATACCAAATGGGAAATGACTGCTTAGGAAGGAGTACTGTGGAAAGATATGGGGGTCACAGTGGATCACAAGCTAAATATGAGTCAACAAAGTAATGCTGTTGCAAAAAAAGCGAACATCATTCTGAGCTGTATTAGCAGGAGTGTTGTAAGCAAGACACGAGAAGTAATTCTTCCGCTCTACACGTGGTGCTGATTAGGCCTTAACTGAAGTATTGTGTCCAGTTCTGGGTGCTACATTTCAGGAAGGATGTGGACAAATTGGAGAAAGTCCAGAGAAGAGCAACAAAAATGATGAAAGGTCTAGAAAACATGAGCTATGAGGGAAGATTGACAAAATTGGGTTTGTTTAGTCTGGAGAAGAGAAGACTGAGAGGGGACATGAGAACAGTTTGTTGCAGGGTACTACACAGCACACAACAAAAACACTAACCCAGGAACCAAACCCTGCAACAAACCCTGTTGCCAACTCTGTCCGCATATCTATTCAAGGGACACCATCATAGGACCTGACCACATCAGCCACACCATCAGGGGCTCGTTCACCTGCAGATCTACCAATGTGATATATGCCATCATGTGCCAGCAATGCCCCTCTGACATGTACATTGGCCAAACCGGACAGTCTTTACGCAAAAGAATAAATGGACACAAATCTGACATCAGGAATTATAACATTCAAAAACCAATTGGAGAACACTTCAATCTCCCTGGACACTCAATAACAGACTTAAAAGTGGCCATTCTTCAACAAAAAAAACTTCAAAAACAGACTCCAACAAGAAACTACAGAACTGGAATTAATTTGCAAACTGGACACCATCAAATTAGGCCTGAATAAAGATTGGGAGTGGCTGAGTCTCTAAGATGCCACAAGGACTCCTCCTTGTTTTTGCGGATACAGACTAACACGGTGACCCCTCTAGGAATGTGGCTGGCCCTTCTGGGTTCAGAAGGACATTTGTATAAGTGAGCAGCGTTTCTAGTTTCAGAGCGGTAGCCGTGTTCGTCTGGATCAGCAAAAAGAACGAGGCGTTTCTAAGTAATTTCTCACGTTACTGAACCGCTTTGCTGCTTGGGAGCCAGAGAACGGGAATGCAATACAGGGCCCTGGGTGATTTCCTTTTTCAGCTTCAGATAACCAGTGGGGGGATCCGGAGCACAGTTTGGGACTGGTTGGTGAATCTAACTTCAGTGTTAACCACCAGTTTTGGGGGAATCTGCTCTCCCTTTTGCAGCCTGCCCTGACCTTCTGGACACTCCGGGTCACAGGGGGGTGGGGGGATGCACACCACAGGGAGGTGCTGGGGGTGCCAGACACCCGTGGGTACAAGCGCTGCTGCTGGGGGCTCTTACCCTGTCCCGGGAGTTGACGTCCACCCCTGTGTTGATCAGATGCTCCACGATCTCCGTCTGCCCAGTTCGGGTCGCCACATGCAGGGGGGTGCTCATGAGCTGAGTATGGCAAGGGTGGGCACCTGCCATTAGCTCCCCATTGGTTTAAAATAATTAATCCAGACAGCCAAATGCTGTAGCCTCATTGCTACCCCCATCTCTGCCCTATCCCCCACCCCCACAGCCCCGCCCCCACCTGCCACAACCCTGCCCCCACCTCACATCCACCCACCTCACCCCTGCCCCCTTACTTCTCCCTCACCTCTACCCACCCACCACTGCCACAGCCCTGCCCCCTACTGCCTCCATCGCTACCCACCTGCCACAGCCCTGCCCCCACCCCACACCCACTGCCCCCCACAGCCCTGCCCCCCTACTTCCCCTCCTCAGCCCTGCCCCCCATACGTCCCCCTCCACCACTACCCTCCTGCCTCTGCTGCCACTGCTCTATGCCAGCCATAGCTCTCCCCTGCCCCCCACTGCCAGCGCTGCCATGGCCCCGCAGCCCCCACCTTATCTTTCAGGTTGAGGTCAGCGCCTCGGTCTTGCAGCAGCTTCACGGCGTCCAGGTGCCCCCCCCGGCAGGCCCAGTGCAGGGCCGTGCAGTCCAGCTGCACCAGCAAGAGACCCCGGTCAGAACGACAGCAGCAACACCCACACCCCCGGCTCCCCACCCTGCACCCCTCACTGCCCACCCTCCAGTCCCTCTAACTGATGAGGATGTGGGGCTGGGGGAGGCTGGATGCGCCGCCCCCTCCAGCAGCTGGGGGAGGCCCTGCAGTGGGGCAGGAGTGCATGGGCAGCGGCAGCAGCCCGGAGGCGGCCTCGCACGCTGGTTTGGGGTCTGAGTCGAGGGGTGAACAGCCGGGTTGGCGTTACCACGTCTCCCATGGTGCCCTGCACGGCAGAGGAAGGGGGGTGAGCCGTGCGGTAGCAGTGTGGCGCAGCCTGCCCCCAGGAAGGGCTCCCCTGGGCTGCAGTCGCTGGGCCTGTCCGGCCGCCCCACATCCTCCACCCCACTGCGGCTCCTCCCTGGATGGATTGGCCGAAGGAGTGCAGACCCGGTGCCAGTCCCGGTGCCGCAGGGAGAGCGCCCGTCTCACCCGGTCTCGGAAATCCACGGTGGCGCCATGGTCCAGCAACCTCTCCAGGATCTCCAGGTGCCCTTCCAGCGAGGCGCGGTGCAGGGCTGTCCGGTGGAACTGGGGCAGGAGGCGGCAAAGACGCAGGCGTCAAAAGTACGCCCAGCCAGCACTGCTGCACCGCCCCGGGCAGCCACGGCCACCAGCCCTCCCAAGGGCGACTCACGGGTCTCGCCCAGGGACCCGGCCGTCTCGGTGTTTGGGACGGGCCAGCAGGGCTCCGAAAGCCCTGTTCCTGGGCGTGTCCAGGCTCAGCTGGGCCTGGCACCGTCTCCGGGGAGGATGGCTCTCTCCTGGGAAGAGGGGGTGCCCCAGCCCAGCCATCCAATGTCCATCTGGGGAAGGCTCGAGCCCCTGGTATCTAGGTGCCAACAGACCCAGATTAACCCATGCACCGGCACAGGGCCCCCATCTCAAGGGCCCCCCCCGACCATCGGATTTGGGAGAGTGGCGTTGCGACCTGGCACACTGGGTCACAGCACCACTCAGGTTTGGACTTGACAGCCCTTCGTCAAGGGGGGACGGGGCCAGACTGGGGGGCCCCCAGTTTCCATGGTCCTCAGGGCCCCATCGTTCTTGACTCCAGCCCTGGTTGCTATTGGGGGGCTGGGGACGCCAGAGCCCGGGCCAAGAGCTGCCGGGGGCAGGGCTGGCTGTGGGGTGGGGGGGCCTGGGCTGGACGCTGCCCACTCGCTGGAGCCTGGCTGCGCAGGTTCGCCGGGGGGGCGAGGGATGGGGGCCGTTACCTCGTCACAGGTGTCAGGGGAGCCCCCGTCCCCCAGGAACTTCTCAATGACCCGGATCTTGCCCTGCACAGCTGCCCTCAGGAACGCCTCCTCCTCCATGGGGCCCACCTGCGGGTGGATGGGACAGCAGCTCAAGAGGCCTGTGTGCCCCATGTGGGGAGCGCCACGAACCTGGCCCCAGAGCCCCCCCCACAGGGGAGGACGCCAGCTCCATGGCCCTCGCCCCAGAGGTGCTCTGACCGGGAGGGAGCTGCTCTCTGGGGTGGCCAACATCTTGGTCAACAACAGGGATCCGCTGGCCCCCCAGCCAGGCTGGCACAGACCCACATCCTCCCGGGTCCCCCCTTACGATCTCCTCCGGCTCCGGCTCCGGCTCCGGCACCGCCTTCTCCTCCCTGCGCTTCCGGCGCGTCTTGCGCAGCTCGAAGAGGTACTGGATGCCGCCCACGTGGATGATCTCCCGGCGCAGGTCCAGTGAGCTCTTCCGCTCCCGCCCCTGGCCCTGCGGAGACGGGCACAGCTGCGCTGCAGCCTCTGGGGAGAGCCCTGCCAGGGCACCGGACTCCTGGGTCCCTCCCCGGCAGCGCCCACTCCCTGGCTTTAAACAAGCAGGATGTGAGGTACCCCCAACCTGTCCCCCCTGACTCCCTAGTCCCCATCTGCCTGGCCCCAGTCCCGACCCCCAACCCTCCCCACAGACCCCCTGGTCCTGACCCCCAACTGCCTAGCCCCGGTCCTGACCCCCAAACCTCCCCACAGACCCCCTGGTCCTGACCCCCAACTGCCTGGCCCCTGGTCCTGACCCCCAGCCCACCCCCCCCACACCCCGTGGCTCCCAACTACCTGGCCCTTCCCTGGCCTCTTACCAATCACCCAACCCCTGGCCCCTCATGAACCCCTCAGCCCTGACCCCTCCCAGAATGCCTGCTCCAGCCCCCAACCAGGCGACCCCCCCGCATCACAGACTGCCCAACCCCAGCCCCAGCTCCAGCCCCAGCAGAGGGAAGCTGTGTGGGGCAGCGCTACCATCTGTGTTTAGGGGGAGGGATAGCTCAGTGGTTTGAGCATTGGCCTGCTAAACCCAGGGTTGTGAGTTCAATCCTTGAGGGGG